TTTTTATATATATATATAGATTTTAAGATTTTACTACATGTACATCAAAATTTACATAATAAATTATATAATATAACGTGACACTGAATCATTTGCCAATTTAAAATACAATCAACTTTAATTAAAATCCAATAAATTTAATTAAATTAATTTTACAATGAAACACACAATAAATTTAATTAAAATTTGAATTTTAATAAATTTACAACCTGTTTGCTCCAGATTTTCAGCAGATTTTAGGTAGAATTGTAGCCGTTGAATGGGACCCACCAGCTCACATGTTCCATTGTTGTTTGTGCTCCAACGACTAGAATTCTGCTAAAAATGGAGAAAACATATGGAGCAACATCCCCTTAATTTAATGAATTTTACAACAAAACACAAAATAAATTTGAATTTTTCAAATGATAAAAATAGTTTAAAATTCTACAAAGGATGTTCAATTTAAGTATTGTGTAGAGCCTGTTTGTTTCACATTGTTTTCTCATTTTTAGAAGAAATAGATCCGTTGATGGGCCCCACCAACATGATTTCTTTGACTTTCATCTCACAATTGGCTTAGAAATGTGTGCTCAACGGTCTAAAAATATATTCTCATTGTGGAAGAATTTGGCCCGAACGGGGGCCGAGTAATCATTTCTCATGGAATCGACAATTCGAATTTGTTTATTTACTTTTTTATTTTTATGCGACATGTGGGATTGTGGTACATATTTTTTTAACGAATAATAGGTCGATGTCATTTTTATAAATTTAGTGAACGAAATTCGATCACCTTAAAGTTTAATGAACGCCTTTCAAAGTTTAGTGTAGTCATCGAAACGTGACAATATGTTAACTGCGTGACGAAATGCCACATGTGCATTCCTTTAGCTGTGTCACTAATTCTGTTAAAAATTTGAAACTGATATGAAAATAGTAAGTAGTGTTCCACCTTTTGATAAATTTAGAGCCCGTTTGATTCTCATTTTTTATCCATAAAAACGAAAAATATGACCGTTATCTATCACATCGAGCTATCAATTTTGAATTTCTATCACAATAACGACTATATTTTTTCATTCTTGTTATGGCAAACGGGCTCTTATTGTTCAAAACTCCACGTCCTAAAGTGGCAGTGGAATTCAGAGACCGCTGAGACAACTCTCAGATTTCCCAGTGTCGTTACGATCCAAGTTCAAACCAGAAGTGAACAGAGAAATTTCTCCAAAAGATAATGGCGAAACCGCGAAAGGGCATATATACATATTCTTCCCTGCACAACAGATATATGCAAAAATTCCATACAGAAATCAAGTGAGCTCCTTTTTTCACCCTCTGTATTCAGATTGAAGTGTACCTAAATTATAGATAATTCTATTCTGGACTACAATTGATGGACTCTATCCTCCACAAACTATACAATGTGCAATTCATGAGAGATTTACGGTTCAATAAGATCTCCTAATTTGAATATATTAATCGTAATCGATGCCTATGTAAATATTAATAGCTTTTCAGTTTGGTCATTTCAATTTCTCTGTGATATATTGATAATGATAGGGCACTATTCATTTCATTTTCTGAGGTATTATTCTTCCAGATTTGCATCTATTGATGGAAAGTACGTGATCTACTGATCCACAAGAAAATAGATATCTGTTTATAACACTCTAAATATAAGGATTAAATACTGAAATACTGCACACCATATACAAATCTAGTAATGTGTACAAGAATAATCAAACAAACTAACAATACCTTTTCCACAATCAAGCACAAACTTTGAAAATTCAGAATACTTTGGACTGTAGTTGAACTGATAGAACTTATTTAATATTCCTCAATTTCTTTTGGCGGGGGTGGCTTTGGATGAGAGGACTTACCGGTGATGGCCTTCTTTACCTTGGCAATTGAGTTCTTCATTTTGGATCCTACTCCTGACAGAATGTTATGTGATTTCTTATGAGCAATTTTGGTATCCACGTCTCCTGCATCAACCATGACAGGAGCTTCAGAGCCCAAGTCAGATATTTTCTGTTCATTTGATTCCTCGTGACCGTATTTTTCCTCTTCATGTTTGGCCTCTTCTGTTGTTCCTGCCTTCAGCTCTTCTTTCTGTTCTGCTAACTTTCTTCCTTCAGCATCATGATCGGCCATTTCCGGGGATTCTTTCAGGGAGCCCTGAAGAAGGTCTGATAATGAAGGTTTAGCTATCTCTGTGGATGCAGACTTATTAGTTGATTCACTTGTTTCGTCAGTTGTTCTTTCCTCTTGACCGCAATTTGCTTCCTCTTGCTCAAGTCCAGAAGGTTTTCGTATTTCAACTTCAGCCTGAAAAATTTCTGTGGTGTCCTGTTGCAGCTGTGGTATGTTTTTGTTTTCAACTTCTGAATTGAAGGCATCCGTATTCTTGGTAAGATCTGCATCTGTAATTATTTGCTTATCTGATTCATGTACGGGGACTGCATCTAGGTTTCGTGCGACCTCTGTGACATCAATACTATCGACTCTTTCAACACACAATTCAACATCAGCCTGTGTTCTTTCCATGTCTGAATATTTGAAATCTGATAAAATGGGTAGCTCATTGTGTTGAGTTGGGGTATTTTTATCTTTTGAGACTTGTGCTGCCTCACTTGCAGAATCCTGAAGCATGTTGGATGGAGTGACCTTATCGGATGCCACATGATTGTTATTTACTATAAACTCATTGCAATTATCAACGGTCACTTTTTCTTCTTCACAAATTGCATCTTTAGCGTCTGAGACAGCATCTGAAGAATTTCTTTGTTGCTGTTTCTCTTTTTCCTGCCTGAGAGTTGCTGGCACTGGATCCTGTTGAATTCTATCAAATTCTTTTCCGCAACTTGAATCCTTTTGTTCTTTGCTCTCATTTGGATCCATCTCTGCTAGATTTTCTTTATTTGATAGTGCAATGGATCTTTCATCCAACTCTTGCATATCCCCAGTTATATTGCTGACTCTTTGAAGATCCACTGGACCAACTTCCTCTGTTTCTCCCATTTCAGAAGCCTGGATGTAGGGTAGACGAGGTAAGTGCTGAAGTTTGACGAGTTGATCCTGAGTTTCTTGATCTTTAACCGCTACCGACATTACTTCTGCAGATCCCTGCACGATTTTTGATGTTGAGATGGCGCATCGCATGGAAGTGGATGTCTCTATCATTTCTTTGTAATCATCATTGTCCTTTCCCTCTTCTCCATATTGTACTCCCATTGTTTCCTGCAAATCACTGGAAGCAGTTCCAGCTTTTGATTCATGCATTTCAGCATCGACTGTTATTGCTTCAGAGTCCTGTTCCATTGGTTGAATGTCTTCGCTTACTGTTGATATTATGGCTTCTCCACTTTCATTTGGACATATTGCTTCAGAAATCTCACTTTTGGTTGTGCCAGTAAACATTTTCTCTAGTATTCTAATATTTGTGGAGTTTTCATTGTCTTTTCCAATACCCAAGACCCCATCACCATGTGATATTTCTGATGTGTCCTTGCTGTGAGATGAAAAATCAGGCTTCTCCTTTTCATCTTCAGTTTTTCTGCTACAAGTATCAGCTTCACCCACTATAACCTCTCCTTCTCCTTCTGAAAGCATTACTTGTTCCTGCAACAGACCTCTGGTTATTAGTAGTTA